ATATATATATATATATATATATATATATATATATATATATATATATATATATATATATATATATATATATATATATATATATATATATATATATATATATATATATATATATATATATATATATATATATATATATATATATATATATATATATATCACACATCATCACATTCATACGCAATCACATGCACCGAATTCAATCATTTACATTAAACGAGTATTAAGGAAATCATATCCCACACCACACACATACTCCCCATATTTCAATACCAATATCATAATCAATCACGACCAACAAGGGTCCAACAACACAAAAGAACAGAACAACACAACACAGAAATACAAAACACTGTCATGCTCGCTGGCTCACTCGCTAGGCGAAGCATCAGCGATAACTCGCTACTTGTTCGCTCAGCGAACTCCCTAGCGAAGCCATACAGTGGCTACTTGAAGCACTCGCTACCCAGTTTGCCCAGCGAATCCCTAACGAAGATTCACTACTCGTTCGCTCAGCGAAGCAGCTGGCGAACGTCTGCGATTTCAGAAAAATGGTACTGCTCAGTGTCGGCAAAACGCTCCGAACTCAGCCGATTCTACTCAAACCAGTCCTCATCACATCGGCTCAACATTCAACAAATTAATTACAGAATCTACTCTCGATTAAACCCGATTAAACCTCAGCTCCACTCAATTAATCACTTTCGGCATAAAACTTCGAACTACCCGGAAACCCCCAAATCGATCATACATCACATGCAATGGGTTCCACATATTATCAACAACTCAGAATTACAACATCATGTAAAACATAATCATCAAATCTATGGGGTTAAGGGAAATCCTCTTCTACCTAATATTCATTCACTCTACCAATTTCGACCCGATTCTCCCCCCTTACCTCGATAGCTTGAACAATCTGATGAACTCTGAAATTCTAGCTTCTTCTTGCTCCAATTCCCTTGCTCTTCTTCCTTCCAAATTTTCCTTGATCGTGTTCTTGTTTCATTTCTCTTCCCTTCTAACGTGTTTCTCCTCTTTCCCTTTTTCAATCTTCCCACCTTACCCCTCATCCCAAATATTATATTCCATTTTCTTTTAATTCCAATTCATTTTTATTACTCAATAATAATATTAATAATAATAATATTAATAATAATAATAATAATAATAACAATAATAATAATACGAACAATATTACTATTAGTCATTAATTTATCATTATCACTAATAATTTTATTATTAGTCTTAAAGTCCAAAATTATTAATAAATTCCAACTTAAGGGCTACACACTATCGCACTCAACCACACCCCTAACACAGAAGGCACACCACAAATAAAATACATAGAAAAACGAGATAATTAAAATGGGTGTTACACGTTCCACCCATGATAGATGAATTTTTCTTCTGATTTGTTTCTTTATGCAAAATGAAGTTTGCAATGGTAGATTTATCTTCTGTCGGTGTCAATGAGGTTGATCCACCGACTTCCGGTAAAAAGATATTTCCTAATCACATCTCTTGGAATTTCTGACAAATATTTAAATCTAAATTACTATCTCTCCGACCACATATATAATATATAACAATGCAAATTTTACATTGTAACTTACCAGAACGTTTCTCTTAGCCACCTTAGCAGTCTGTATGCGCAATTCCCACGTGCATTCCACATATGAGATTTTTGAGGAGTATGAACTGGAATTGTCCTCTGATGTACTGCACTCACAAAACATTTCACAATACAACTCTTTGTTTATTTACATGCATGGCATGCATCTAATCAAATAGGTTTTCCAAGCTTTACAAACATAAACGTATGTCGGTCAAAATGGTTTTGTATCATCTTTTCTATTAAATCACTGACAACATCCTTCTATTATAAGCAACATTCAAATATTCAACCTTATCTAACCTTCATGATTTCGTTTGTTATTTAGTATGCAGGAAATCATTAAAAGACATAGACTTACTTAACCTTATAAAACTCTTTACAAAACCATAAAATTTGTAAGCACATGCTATCGTCTGAAGAAGTCATAAAAAGAATTAGATGTTTAAGTTACACATAGGATAGTAAAAACTAAACCTGCTACCGTCCAACGAAATTGATATGTGTGACACTTCCGACTCGACGGTTCTCTTTCTTTTGGGCAACTTCACGCCGGTTTGTCGTGCTTCTCCCTCTACAATGTCACGGACATCTGATCGCCCACTGGTTTCGTTCGACTTTGCAACAGATGCTGATTTCTACGTCCTTCTGAGCTGAGGATCTGCAACCACAATCGCATTGCACGCAACAACATCAAAACTTATATTGGATTTGTGTAAACAATGCCACGGTTCAATACAATGATAACATACAACGCATATGCAACACACAAAGCTGACACAACGATTCACGTAGTCGTTCCATACAGACTTCACCTGGTAATGGTTTATGGGAAAAGAACCTTCTCCATTGACGGATGTAGCAACTATTAACCTTCCATATTTCTTCTTTTCTCAAGCTTTTTTTACTTTGTTTTCCTTCAGTCTTCCTATTACACACAGAACCGCATCTTATGTAAATTGATATTGGACCCATAATATCTTTATCTTTTGTTTTGATTTTCTATGGTCCATCTTAAATGACAACCTATGCAAAAATGAATGTAAAACTTGACCATCACTATTCAATTAGTTTGTATATTATTCACTATTATTTTATGTTCCAATTTTAAATCAAATTAATGTTACAATGTTGCAATTTTAAAACCATAAAAGGTTCAAATCTTCGATTGAAATTATTTTATTCTTTTATAATTTCATTACTTTTAATCAATTATTTGCATAACTTTTTTTAATTTATTTCTAATTGATCATTTTTATCATTGCCTTTTCTTTTAAATTTTTACTTTCTTTTATTTTTAATTAATTTTTTAATGAGTGTGCGTAATACACTGTAGGACATGTGCGAACGCAGGAGTATTCACCGGAAGGATAAGAAACGGCCCAACAGGAAGAGCCCAAATATGAAGAGAAACGTGCCGTGACGTGAATGAGAGTTCAAATACAAACAAACTGATAGATATCTCTCTCTCATTCATGATCCCAAGCTGTTCTCAAATGCAGGTAAGTTCACCTTCTTGTTCATTATCGATCCTATCGTAAAATCAACACACTTTTTCGTTTCATGTCAAATATGAATATTCCCAATTTAACCTTTTCTGTTGAACACTCTCTTTTTATGGGTTTTCTTTTTCTGTAGGATAAAGTTTAATGATCTGTTACATTTAGCAATTCCTCATAAAGTTCTTAGCCCACACATTTGCAAGGTAAACTACTATGGTTTTAAAATTCATAATTTGTTTTTTTGTTTTTTTGTTATTTTTTGTTTCTCTGTTGTTTCTGATGAGAATCTTACGATCATAAAGTTCTTAGCCCAGACATTTGCAAGGTAAAAAAGTCGAATAAGTGGAGGGAACCCTGCCCCATGAGCTAGCTTTCGGGGGCTTGAGCAATTTCTTCTCATTTTCCTATGGATCATTTAGGAAGTTAAGCCTTGTGAGGAATTTGTATGCATTTTCATTATCTTCAATCCAATGGGGGGCTTTTTCATTTTCCAACAATATATAACATATCCCTCGTTCCTTTATTGATTGCTCACAGCCAATAGTGGCGCAGTGGTGCCACGGCAATGGTAGGTGATTCGTTCGCATAGAAAAACCTGCATTGAACATTGCAGCCATCACAGTCTTTTGCGCCCGCGAGAGTGAAGGTGTTGGAGAAAACTAATTTTTCCCTAAAATATTGATAGCTTAGATGAGAAATATGAGTAATATGTGAGCCTTCTTACTTCCTGCTCCATTTTGTTTTCTGCCTTTCAGCCACGCACACCACCGTGGAACAGTCGCAGGCCACCTAGTACAAACCCCACACCAACAGGTTCTTGTCTGCTTTGTTTTTGTTTGTTTTTCCCATTTTCCTCCTTTTTTCCCTCCTCTATTCCTCTCATTTTTCCCCTCTGTTTTGATTTCCCTTGAAAAACCTATGTTTTGCTATTATTTTCCCCTCTCTGGTGGTATTTAATTGTATGTTTTGATTAAGACTTGTGACTTTTTAATGCTAATTATGCATAACTTTCATGAAATTTGACTTATTTGTTTAATTTTACATTTGTAGTTCAGTATTATTCATGTAATCTGTCTAACATATATCAAACGGAAGCCATCTCGTTACATGCTATCCCTCTGTTCTTGGCTGGCCATTCTATGCTGCTCTCCACGATTGACTACCTAGCTTTATCTTAGCTCTACATATATATATTTGGCACCCTTGTCAAAACCACCCATACTTGTATCCATAAATTACAACTCTCTATCTATGATCATTTTCTATATTCTTATTGATGATTGGCACTGCAATTATCAGTATGTTTTGATTTCTCGATTTAAGTTTAAGAAATTTAATTTGAACTTCTCAGCAAATATGTCACACGGAAAACCTAATTGTGTACATTGCAATTATGAATCCTAGTTGCTTTATTTTTATTTTTTTTTGCATTTGTCTTCAGTTTCTATATTGCCGGTGTAGCCTCAGCCACAATTTGTAACATAGGTCTTAAATCCTATTGTTGCATTGTTTTACCTAAATGTAGAGTTCTTTCAGTTCCAAGTACCATTCCTTCCTTGTATGTCAAAGTGCTAAGATTAGTTGACATTGACGTATGCTTTAGAAAAGATGTTGCGTATGTACTGTTTGATATAGCATCTCACAAATAGATACAGGAAGCACAATATGATTCATTTTATTAAAGCTGTTGATGTGTTGCAACAACTCTAGGATTTACGATAGACTAAGAATGAAATTCATCGATCTATTTTGCAGTTTCCTATTACATCAGCATTTGGCTGTTGGACATTTAACTCTACTTAATTTCTCTTTGTTGTAATTTATCTAAATGTTTATTTCCTGAACAATGTCAGTGATGAACAATACTCTGTATTTGAGTCGGGAAGATGCATGGATTCTCCACTGTTGATGGGTTTGTGGAGATAAGTGAATGCTTGGCAGAGATGATTAAATACGTGGCGAATGAACCATCTGCTGGTCTTTTCTTCATCCAACAGCATACTCAAAATGCAGTTCCCAATGTCATTAAGCTTAAGAACAAGGTTATTGAAAAGTCTCATGAAACGCGTTTGCACACAGAAGATTTGGAGGACTCTATCACAATGGTGAAATCAATGAAAGAGTGTGGATTCCCAATAATTGATGAGATGATTGGAGACATTAAAAAAACTTTGGCTACTATGACATCAAAGCAACCAAAACGAGTGCTACCGAGTCTGCCAGCATCAAATCTTCAGTCAGAAAGACCTAGTTTTTGGAGTAATTCTGCAGTTGATCCCCAAGAGGGAAGTGAAAAAAGGGGCAACTATTTTTCTAGTGTTTTTAAATTTTCAAAGCAGAAGGAAAGCAGTCTCAAGTGGCCGCAACATGATTCTACAGGATCAATCAATCCCAAGACTGAGAAGGCAGAGCTGTACCCTAATGAGCCTTTGTCTGTCACATATGCAAGCAGTTGTACATCTTCAGACAAGTTGCCAATGCCAAGAGACGTTGAATATGAATCTCTGCCGGAACAGAGTGATATTGGGATTAAGTTATTGTCAGTAACAGAAAAATATGATGACTTCAAAGCTAGTAAACAAGCTAAGCTGGAGGAGTGGCTGGAAGGAACAAATAACCATGATTGTCGGACAAGTGATGAAAATAGGCCTTAGCCGGGCTATTACTTGGATAACATAAAGATTCAGCATGTATATAATGCTCTGTAGTGTTTAGTTGTCTCTTAATAACAATTATAAAAAAAATATTTGTTATGTTGTTAAATGTACTTAAAATAACTATGATACCATGTGGGATTGATGCACAGGATCCAGCATTCCTTAGTGTTGATTATTAATTATTAAGGCCATATGAATCACATTCTCTTTTATTTTTTTGCCTTGATAACAACAAGGTAGTCAAGATCGAGTGCTGGATCGTAAGATCGTAAGATCTTACGTGCTAAATTTACCTTTTAGTGCTACAATCTTGAAAAAAACTTTTTTGTATATCTTTGTAGTCAAGATCGAGTTTTCCATAGTAAGATCGTAAGAAATATAGTGCTGGGTGCCTGGACCTGTTTTGTTGGGCTTTTTTACCAGGTCGGTTTTTTTTAAGTGAACCCAGCTTTTTAATTAAGTTCTCAGACCTAACCCTAAAACACCAAAACACCAAAAGACAAAAACGGCTGCATCTTTACTCCTTACTCGATATTATTCCTTCTCCTTTAAGGATTCTTCTTTCTGCAACTTTCCACCATCATCATAATCATTCTTCTCCCTCATCATCTTCATTCTTCTCCCTCTGTGTTTTTGTCCATGTGAAATTACCATTTTACCCTTTGGTAAGATCTTAAGTGTCGTGCTACGATCCTAGTTTTACGATCTTTTGTAGGCCGTCCGATCCTACTTAAGATCCCGTGCTTGACTACCTTGGATAACAATTTGGTCTTTTTTTTGTTTTTGGCTTAAATGTATTTTTGTTCTTTCTATTTTGTTTTTTAAAAATTTTTAGTCCCCTTTATAATTTCTCAGCTGATTTTTTTAATTAGTTAAATAATAAAAAATATTCTAAAACAAATTAAAACACTCAGAAATCTTAATTCTCAACTCATCCCCTTCTTCACTTTCGTTCTCGTTTTTCAAATTTCTCATATCCACTGCGTTACATCATCCTCATCTCAAATAGTCCCACCACTTTTGAGTCCTACATCATCCTCTTCTCAAGCAATCATGTTCCGATTTTTTCAAGGAAATAATTACAACAAATCTCCTGACGAATGTAGATGTGGTCTCGATACACCATTTATGACAGCATGGACCGATGTTAACCCAGGATGTCGTTTTTATGGGTATGGAATGTATAAGGTATTAAAGCTCTATAACTCTTCTCATTAAAATTTCTTTCTGTTTGATTTGAAAATCATGGAAACTGTATTTCTTCTGCATTTTTTGTAGTTTCAGGGACATAAAAGGTGCAATAATTTTGTTTGGTATGATGAAGAGATGACTCCAAGAGCAAAAGAGTCGAATTCCTCATTGAATCAAGGATTAAGTCTAGAGAAGATTAAAGTTAATGAATGCAAGCTCAAAGAGGATAAGTTGACGATGAAGATCAAGTTTGTGAATATGCAGTTGAAGTTTACAATTGAGATGAGCATTGTGTTGTTAACAGGACTGGTTACAACAAGTGTAATGAAGTAAGAATTATCATTGTACTTTAGATTTTAAAACAACCATGTTGTGGTGTTGTTGTTTAGTTGTTAAGGTTTTGAAACAACCCTGCTATAAATTATGTAACAATAAACTATGAATGAAAAAATGCTGTTTCAAATCTGTGTCAAATGATATTATTCCAGTTGATTGTATTTTGAGTTATGTGTGCATATTGCACAGATTTTGTGCTCATATATTTAAATCTTTTCAAATTATTTTCATGACATATATTTAAGCCTTTTCACATACATTGCAAGCCATTTACATTTACTTATGCACATACAATGCAGTAAATTTGACAGACCATAACATGATTGTTGGCATAATGATATTGTGCACATATAGTTAAGCATTTTCATATACATTGCAGGCCATATCATGACAAATGAAATTTCTCATACATTGCACAACTACAATGCACATATAATGACAGTAAATTTGACATACAATGCATAATTACAATGCACATACAATGACAACAAATTTTCAGTAAACGTCATTTGACAGTTTCCATTATATTATAGACCAATCACGCGGTAAAATTTGCCAGTTGACCGTTAAAATAACAATTGCAATTTGATAGTAAAATTTCTCATACAATGCGGACCATTTTCAAAATAACACCTTGCCAATACAGTTAACATTACAGGGCATTGTAACAGTTGTCTTTACATCAAAATAACTATTGTCATAACATTAAAATAACTAAGGCATTACCGACCACTTTTATTGGGAAAAACCCAAATCCCACGTTGGTTAAAGATGCAATCTACAAAGGACTTATATAGAGTGACACCCCTCGCCTTACCGACCGGTTTTGTAGGGTTGAGTTAGGTAAAACTCTAATTCTATCGTGGTATTATGAGCCTATCGATTTAGTCCACCAACCACTTATGTATGTGCACCAAGCCCAAAAAAATGCTGGATGCAATGGGGTGTATTAAACACTAATCACCTTAAAATTTTGGGTGAGTACGTGGTGTGCTTCTCACAAAGGTGTTACTCTAAAAAGGAAAAGTTTCACAATGTTCAATACTCTCTAGAGAAAATCTTCCCCCAACAATTTTGTCACACATTTTCCATGCTATTGTCATAAAACCAAAATAACTAGGGCATTACATAATTGAAACAATTGTTAAGATGGTTATGTAGACTGAGGATCTTGTGATGAGCTTCCTACTTCTGATGCATTTGTCTTCGTTTTCTTCTTCTTCTTCTTTCCACCATTTGCCTTCTTGTTATTTCCACATTTTGGGAGGGCCCTATAAGGAGCCCTCTTTCCCTTATAACTTCTCCTATTGTGGCCCAATGATCCACATTTATGGCAAGTAAAAGTTGGTAGCTTTCTAGGAAAAACGTGTGGGTTTTTAGGCTCATTATTGACTTTGTTTTACATCTTTTTGGGATGACCAATTGCCCTTCACATCACTAGTGGGTTGATTGTTACATGGTCATCAAAAGGCTACAATTGTGGCCCATTGGTAGGGAAGACTATATGTGAGTATGTCTTCTTGAAAGTAGTCTTCCTGCACAAAATGTCAAGAAACAATACACATGTTATGCATAGAATGACAAGAAACAATACATATATTATGCAAAGAATAACAAGAAAAAATTTAGACACAAATGATGTAGATGGCATAGTTAAGACAAAAACCTGTAATATTCAGAGACATATTCTTCTGATTGTTTCTTGTTTTTCCATATGCAAGTTATGGCATGACAAAATGGTATTCCAATTAAATCTCATTTCCTACATGCACATGTCTCTTGTTTTAGATCAACAACATATGTTTCGTTTCTATTTGTCCCACCATATATGGTCAAATCATCATCACCATGTCATGTAGTTGTCCAATTTTCTGCAACCTTCTTGTTCTTTTCAAACACCAACTGTATTCTAGGGCTAATATCACCAATCACCATTATACTTAATCAACACATCCTTCTGACTAGTAATCCTCTTAGTCAGGTAATGCTTTATCCTTTCTTATATAGTGATGATTGGTTTATCTCTATATTATAGAATTGCCCTATTAAAAGCCTCACACATGTTATTTACCTATAGGTCACATTTAGAATAAGTCTTGAAGTGTGACCTGCTCAAGTGTTGTGCAGGGATATACTTCACTTCCTTCTAAGCAGCTTCATTCAAGCTTTTCATCCTTAGCATTGCCATCTTCCATGATGCAACTATTGTAGCTCTTGTTGCACTCCACATAACCTCTTTCAATTCTAACCCAGGATATTTCTTCTTTCAATTCCCACATAGATGCTTCACACAAAGGCGTTGCTCCACATGAGCATTCACACTCTGAACTGTTGGTATTAGGCACTGACATCAGTATACAAGGATATAAGAAGAATACTACTATTGAGTATAACTTATACATTAATAGCAAAATATTGTTACATTAAAAGGTTACCTTTATTGGTCTAAAATGAAAGCATGGGCCATATGGTTTATGATTTCTATGTCTTTCATTAGAATGTTGATGAACCAATCCCAAGAGTCTTTTGACTCAGCCTCCACAATAGCATAAGCAATAAGATATATCTTGTTATTTCCATCCTTCCCCACAGTAAACACATGGCCTTCATTAGAATCAGCACATTGCACCACAACATTACTATTAGGGTTTGACTTTAGTAAATCTTGTGCATAACTCATTAAATGGGTGAGTTGGTCCATACCAACACCTTGGATAAAAACCATAGCCCTTCTTTTGACAACTTCACTCTACATCTATCAACGACTTCAACAATCAATCTCATTGGTTTCATGTTAGGCCTATGTCTTAGAATATGTGCAAATTATTTTGGCAAGCCATGTTGTCTTTGCTTGCCTATTATGTGCAGTTATATGACATTTATATTCATCAATTAGACTTGTAACTTGCCAAAATTGGTTGCATACTGTAACACCCCGTTTCCCCAAAATAGAAATAAACAATTAAAATAAGCGCATATCAGAGTTTTCCCACAATGGGATGTCACAATTTTCAACAAAATTCCACAAATCATTTTTCAAAATAATATTCAGCAAAATTGCAGCGGAAAAAGAACTAGTCTGTCATAACACATATCATATATACATCGTCCATATCATCAACATCTTCATATACAACAATCGGCCATCTGCCCAAAACATACATAATGTCATCACATATCCCATAAAAATTCAGATACGCCATGGGGGCACCCATAATCAACAAGAAACAATAAAACTCCCAAAAAAGCTCCGGTGTTACGTATCAGAGCAATCCTACGACGACGCCACAATCCAAACTAGCTAAACACCTGAAATAATAGGCAGAAAACAATAAATCCTTAATTCACATTCAACATATCCGGACCTACTGTCCCATCATAAACAATCACAACACACATAAACAACAATGCAACACATGCACTCGACTCGACAATATGCGGTACCGACTCAACTCAGGATAGATCGTATACACTCCATCCGAGCAACGATCTATCCCTACCACGCTCCTCCTGAGCCCATATAATCAAATCTCAAGATAGATCGCATACACTCCATCCGAGTAACGATCTATCCCTACCACGCTCCTTCTGAGCCCATATAATCAAATCTCAGGATAGATCACATACACTCCATCCGAGCAACGATCTATCCCTACCAACGTTCCCCATTTGGAACACGGGTGGTCGCATACACTCCATCCGAGCAACGATCCAAATCCCGTCCATGCTCCCCACTTGGAGCACGTGAGTGTATCACACACCACGTTCACGCTCCCCACTTGGAGCACGTGAGTAAATCATACCTCACGTCCACATGCTATGCAAGACACTATGCATAACCACACGGCACACACAGTGCATACGATCCTACTGATCCATCACATCATATAATGCATATACACACAAGCACACCAGGTGCATCGATCCTACTGATCCACTTAATCACACAACACACAAACACAACGCATATCAAGCGTATCGATCCTACGGATTCACTCATCACAACACATCACCATAATGCATTCGATGCGTAACGATCCTACTGATCCACTCATCACATAACAGTATATAAACGCAGTGCATATAAAGCATATCGATCCTACTGATCACAATTTATCATATATCAAAGATATCTCACTCATCATCGCAGTCATCCATCATAACATACACCCATGCAATATCATAACCACGCGGATATCACAGAATCACGTCCCGACACCCTACATACACTCACCACAGCTCACCCAATAAGCTCATCACCAAAACATGATCAACAAGATTCCAAATCCACAAAGAAATCAGCACAGAACAGCAGCCAAAACAAAACTGCTGTCGGACTCGCTGGCGCATTCGCCTGGCGAAGCCCCGCAGCGAACACTCGCTGACCACTCGCCTGGTGAAACTCCTGGAGAAACCAAACAGAGGCTACTGGCAGCATTCGCTGCCCAATTCGCCTAGCGAAGGCTCGCCCCCTCATTCGCCCAGCGAATACCTGCGTATTCAAAAAAATAAACTCTGCTGCTCAGAAACAGCAGCAGCCCCTCCACACCAATCCTCTCCAAAAATCACACCAGCCTCACTAACTCATTATTCTACAATTGTTTTACCCAATTAGTGTCCAATTCACCCGATGAAACATCGACTCTAGCCGATCAATTCACTCTCGACTCAGAACTACATTCAACTCCGAAACCCCCAATTCATCAATTAACCATCAAATTCAGCATGCAACAGTTCAACACAAACATCAACGATTTAAAACCGAATTAATACATGCAACATCATCAACTCATCATCATCAACATGCAAACATATTCACTCATGGGGTTAGGGATTTCCCCTTCCTACCAATTATTCATGTAGATACCATTTAACTGATATATTCCCCCCCCCTTACCTCGAATTCGTTTTGATGATGAAGGAGCTTCACAATCCGCAACCTTGATTCCCGCTCTTGGTCGTTCTTGCTCTTAATGCTTCAACCGTGTTTCTCAGCT